TTAAAATTTATTTAAAATCACTAATACTATATATTCAGCGTCATTAATTATCATAACATTCATAACAATACTTTAGTTTAAAAAAAAAAATTAACTCAAATATATGGTATACTAAAAGATATAACAAAATTAAATAACTTACTAGTTACCTATTTAACTAAGAAATATACAAATATAACTTAAGTCTTAGATTTAGTAGCCATTTTAATTATTCTTATTTACCCGTGTAAGAAATGTTATAAGTGAAAATCCGTATCACCTTAATCTGATTCTAAAAATATTATTTTTCTTTAATAAAATAGGTTTTACTTAGAAATGTTTTCACTGTTTTGGCTAAAATAATTTTATGGTTAATTTTACATTTTTTTTGTCACAATATTAATAGACAATAATATATTCGTATACCAACTTATTTCTCATTCACATCATATATTTATTGAAAAAATGGTGTACCTGGTATTTGGACCTTGGCTAATTTATTGGGACCAGATTTTTATCATACCTAATATAACATTTTATTACGTTGTTTAATTATTTTTATTTTGATAAAAACAAATTACGCTAATACGTCCAGTATAAAATAATTCATAAAAATACAATATATTTAACTCCTAAAATAAAATAATTATAAAAGGAAGGAAGTACTGAATTTCAATTAATTAAATTGATTTAATTTTCAATAAGAATATTTTTTCAATTAAGATTTCGTCATTAATATAATATCATACTAATTATTTATAAACTATAATTATTTTAAGTTTAGATTGTATGAGTCGAAAAGGTTTACCTAAAAATGTATATTAAACATATATCTCCCTTCTCTCCTATAGTCTAAACATTAAATTATTATAATATTAATAAACCGTTAGCCCAGTATTAGATTTATTCATATCAACATTTTCAAAAATATTATCTCTCCGAAAATTTAAAATTTAAATTTTAGACCACTATAGGTTTAAAAGTTGATACTGTTTTAATAACAATGGAGGTGAAATACGATTTTATATTAAAATATAATGAAATAATATAGAATACTAAATTGGATATAATCAAATAATAAAAATAAAAAAAATAAATAAATATGGAAAATATCTCATAAAACATTAATACGGCTTGATTTATATTGAAAAAAAAAGATTCTACCTCTTGAATAAACTATACATAAAACTATAAATCGCTTAAGTAAAAAAAGATAAACATAAAAACTTTTCTGGACCATACAACAATTTTGATTAAATCATCAAAAGTAAAATGAAAAAAATCACTGAACAATATAGCACAATTACCTCAATGATATCAATAATACAATAAAATTAAGAAAATAACTGTGCTAAAAAATTAACAGAAAAGCAGCAATTATAATAATAGTATAATTGATCACAAGATTGGTACACTATCGTTCATTTAAACTATATATATATTACATATGTATGTATATGTGTGTGTGTGTGTGTGTGTGTGTGTGTGTGTGTGTGTGTGTGTGT